AGGAAGTTGCAACACGAACATCTTCATAACACAACAAATTAATACACTCACTGAACCCCTCAAGCACTGCAATTGGTATCGCCACGAAACAAATGACAGGCATCACTCGTTCCGACAGGTTTGCCAACTTATTGGATTGCAACAATTGCACAACTCACGAAGTTTCTAGCAAACGAATCGCAACGTAGATTATCATAATTTAAGAGTGTGTTCTTGGGGGGGGGGGGGGGGGTCCCTCACTCGATTCTCTCACACCCAGTTCTGGGTGTTGCACATTTACATTTCGAAACATCTCCCTTTTCCAGGAACGAAGCTACATCGCAAAATGACGAGCGAGGTTAAGGCGCCCGACAGAGCAATGCACCAACGTCTACGGCAGAGATTCTAAATTACGGGTTGGTAAAGACTCACCGCGAAGTGCCAACCAGGTCGAATCTAGATGTTTTATAATACGAGATTACACACCGCCACTGGACCCTGTTCTGAGACAGACAAATTCTGTCCTCACATTCAACTTATTTTATATCAACTTTAATATTATCCTTTATACATCAATAAAGGGTGGAATTATACAATAACCACTGTCATGGCCGTAGTTGAGGAAATTGCACTTAATTAAAACTGCGTCTACGTAACGCGCTGGTGGCTCGGATGGTGACCGGGAGCCATCAACCAGCATTACGCGGCCACTACTGACTTAAAACCTGGCCCATCCGACTTCATCACGACCAAAGGAAAACCTCACGACTACAAATCGTCCAGTGTCGTTCCGATCAACGCAAATTATTACGAGACGCGAAGAGTTGCAGTGAGTGCCAACCGAACGTCGTGAAGTAGTGACTGGCACCACTGCTTCGTGTTCGGGAGGTCTCTGGTTCGAACGTAGACCAGGAACCTCTTAAGAACATGAATTGCAATCTCACTGAAAGCAAAGATGTCATTACCTAATATAAATTGCGGTCTCGCGAACAAATAATATACACCGAGAGTTGGCGCAGGTTTTCTCAGGCCTATGAAAACACGGGGGAGAGACCAAGAACAACTGTGGAGCGCAGGAACAGACGATGACAAATGCAGATCACCGGCGTAAGTGTTGAAAATTGAGGCTGCGGATTGTTAGTTGAGAGACAGGCCGGTACTTACGTCTCCTGCCGCGTGCAGACATTCGGCCCCTCGAGGGCTGAAGCGACGGCCACTAGGAGACCCAGCAGCGCCCCAGACCAAGCCATCCTCAGACAGACACCAGTCAGTCACCTGCACACACAAACGCACGCGGTCGGATTAGCAACGAAACAAACACGGCCCGTCCACACGGCAACTCCAACTGCTGTTGGCAGTTTCCAAAACTTCTTTCGGGATAATTAATACGACGAAAGGCGACGACCCACCTCGCCGAAGTCTCGTTTTCTCCAACGCGCGCCTTCGACCTGATTGCGTCACGTCCGTAATAAACGGAAGCGAAGGCTCAGTCCACGCCTTCTGAAGAAATCGCGAAATGTGGCAACGAGGAAACTTTTCCTCTGCGTCGCTAAAGTAAATACCAACAACACAGAACTGTCTTCAGTGCAGTCGGAGGAACGCCATCCGCGAATGAAAACAAACACGAAAGCAGCTGGTTTCGTCTTTAAGGCTTTGCCCGGGATGTTCTTTTGTTAAATCTTACGTGGTACCGCCTGATTCGACTTCTAATGGTTAAGTGAAGTGTTTTCTTCGCGGTACGGTCTGGATTCGTAAATATTATGAAGACGAGCTTCGGCTTCAAAGGGTTAACCAGCTGATTTTCGTAATGGTGAGGTGTAGTGTTTTCTTCGCGGTACGGACTGAATTCATAAATAATATTCAGACGAGCTTCGGCTTCAAAGGGTTAAACCGGCCTCCAAGTGTAATTCATCAACTCACGGGCCCTCGTCCTCCTTCTTGTTGCCAACAGGCCCTCACTCATACACGAGCAAAGTTGTCCTCGGACGTCAACCATCTCATTTTTAATTAACCGCGTTACTTACATAGAATGACCGGAACGGATTTGGAAGGAAACGATGACGGCCTAACTGAAGGTAACTGGACAGGAACTCGTTGGAACGGACTCACGAAATCTAAATCAGGGCACCCAAAATCTCCAGGCAGAAATTCCAACCCACGACATTCAAAAGTTTGTTGGAAAACCTGAGACCACTTGGATACCTGGACGTCTGTGGGAGTATAATATTAAAATGGATCTAAACTGAATGTTTCTGTATTCGTTCATGAAGAACAGAGAATCTTACACACTCCGGGTTGCATAAACTGTGGGAGTAACAATTAGCATCTGAATACGGGATCTGCCCCATGGAGTCACTTAACTTGTCCCCTCCTTAAATGACAGATAATCATTAAAGCTCCTTTAAGTCTCGCGGTTAACGAGCAGCCGGGACTTGAAGCCCGTATTGCATGCAGTCGCCAGCGCCCGCCAATTGCTGGTTGTCACGGAAGTTGCGAAACCGAACATCGGCCCGACTCTCAACTCGACTGAACACGAACCATATGATCCACATAAAGGCCACGCCGTCTCAAATGGAGTAATTCCTGTAATTAATTTCGGCCGCGCATTCCTAGTGAAGTTTATATATTAGCTTTATTCTAAATAGTCTCTTTACAATTGCGTAAAGTTTGATTACGACATCGCTTATTTAACTTGAATTAGTTACGCTTAAGATGGGTCTGTGGTAGCTGAAATATGTTATAAAATTTGTACATTTTAGAGTATCAACATTTCGTGCAAGATTTTGATCTACATCGAGGATTTAACATCAACATTAAGCCAAACGTTTCCTCCATTAATGTGACAAAGCTTTGATATTCCTCCTTCTTTAAATCAATGTTAAAATCTCCTGTCAATATTATCGGCATTGTACGTATTAGGACCTTCTGTGGCCACAATTGGAAACATCTCTGTAAATTTGGAAGCTAAACGCGCCAGATGCATTGAAAATTGTACGCATTGGTTCATTAAAATTACAATAAAATACATTACAGATTCTTAAAGGTCTTTATTTACTGATCATTTTACATTTCCCTTACTCTTACCATCCCTGAGGAATGAACATTTAAAGGTGACTCGGCGCTGGGTCTTACACATTTTCGTAATGTTTTCGAAACGCACCACAGAAAAGTTGCGATGAGAGAACAAAGATTCCAGAGACGTTCAGAATCAGTTCGAGTAACTACTTCTCGATGAAATCTTATCATACCATCCAACTTGTTCATAAACAAACATAACTGATCTATATTTACCGCACTTTTATCTGTCTCCGAGGGTCTACTTACTGCACGTGTGCGAAAGAACGGTTTCATTAAAAATGGCCGTCTTCTGCATTACAGCGCCGTGATCTACTAGAATTTACAGACGTTTCGGATGTACCTTCTGCCTGCATCATCAGGGTCTTATAGCATTCAGATGGATTCTGAAACTTTGTAAATGTATAACAGCCCAGAAAACGTCGTGACTTCTGAAAAGCTACTTTCTGGTGCAGACAATAATTACGATAACACTGAAGTGACGTCATCAGTCAGCGTAGACAAACCCTGGCTCAGTTTTCCGGTGGTCGAAACCAGTGAATGACTCGACTTGAATCTCGGGTTCCGACAGCCGAGCGTTCGTAACATTTAATCAGCCTGTAATCACGCTCCGAACTGCCGTCGCCATGGAAACTAATCAGCGTCTTTGTGTGATGAGCTTAGCAGCGGAGGACTGTAGTCGGATGACGCGATGACTCAGAAACCAGAGACTGTTCCGTTGACGATAGCAGCTGAATTTCACGTTCTACCTACGTCGTAGAACATCAAGTTCCAAATATATTGTGGTCTGGTTTCACGTCTCGCCGTTAGCAATGCAACGCGCACGCGCGGGGGGGAACCGTGATAATTGCCTGAGATCACTTCCTTCCGGTCTGACGCTTCGACCCGCTCTCGTGAGGGGGACAAGGGCACGGCACAGCTTCCCTGACCTGTTCGTTTTCTTCAGTCCGCATTTTCCTTACTTTCCTTCCCTCTAATTTCTAACTGTGCTGGGGAATGTACCGAAACGTCTGCAAAAGACACCGACCTCGCGACGCTCCCACTCGACTTTGAAGCCGCCTTTCGCCGAGGAGACGCCGCTCTTCAACTCCAAGGACGTCGAACTCGCTCTGATTCCCTCCTGCTAACTCCACCATCGCCCTGAACCACTTGAACCCGATCTCAGCGCTCGGCTCTCAAGAAGCTTCTTCAAGAGGCGAACGCTCTTCAGGGACGTAAGCGTCAGGCGACATACATACAGGGTGTGCCATTTAAACCGCAACCAAACAACACTGACGCACTGAGGCCCAATTTTAAATCAGAAGCAGATCTGCCCTTTAGTGAATGCGGGGGAAATTCCAAGGACGACGATGAGGCGACATGCAGAAAAGTGTGAAGCGTCGAACTATGAATGGCCGCTTGTTTCCATAGAAACAGAACTCACAAGCTGTGATGACGTCATGGCGTTACCTGCTGTGACGTCACAGTCAGCTGATACCGCAACGTCACAGAGGTCAAAGAAACAAATCGGCGACTTTGTCCTTGGCCCGGTCAGCGCCTGCGTGTTGAGGGGCACTCCGCCGTTCCACGTTTCCTGGTGCAGGGAACCGGAAGGAACCTTTCGCCAACAAAGACACGCGATTCGTCTCACCCCCTTGTTAGTTAAATATGTCCGTCTTCTTCTGCGTTGTAGTCCGGTAGACGTCCACCAACGTTTATGAATGAGGTCATGCTGCCTCCGTCATCAGGGCGATGGACGGGAAATATTTATATCGTGTGCTTCCCGTCCTGACCCTCTCATTCCGCAATAAGTCGCTTTCCCGAAATGAAAAATCAACTGTAAGCTCGTGTGACGAAATGGCGGAACCCGAAACAGCCTTCATCAAGCCTCGGAAGAAGAAAACATACGAAGCCTACGACAACCTCAAGCAGAGAATAAGTTAGTCTGACCCGCATAGTAATTCGATAATATTAAAACGGTTGTAATTGGGCTGGATTCATATGGCTCGTGTCAGGTCCAGTGCCGGGATGTTCTTGAGAAGGTAACGAACATTGTGGTTCCGTAAAACGCTTGCATTACGCGGACGAGCTGAGCAACTACCACTTTGCCAAACAAAGCCACTCTTCCGCAGAACTAACAAGCATAAGGCCCAGGTTTAATTTTCATTGGCCCGTACATTTCACGGTAGAGCAAAGCAGACTGACGGTCAACACCGGAACACGCGCCAGAAACTGCTTCCTCGCGTTAAAACTGTTTACACTGAACTTTGTGCGCAGTTTCGCGTATTTTTAAACAGACGGTACGAAGGTCGTGCTTACACGTCATCCGTTTGCTTTGTCCAGTCGCCAGACGAGACTTCGCTTGTACGGTCCCTGGATACGCACGTCTTTAAAATTCCCTAAAACAAAAACAACAAATTTAACCGGTGCAAAGTGCCATATCACAACTGTGACTTAAGACGACCTGGTTTTGAGAAATTAAAAAAAATCCTGTCAACATATACACGAAGGTTTCAGCCCTTTAGAAACCGGCGGTAACTTTACGTATGTCCGACCTGCTTCAACATCAAATAACTCTTCAATTTGTATTTGTGGGTTTCCGTGTTATTTTCACAATAAATAGCAGTTATTTACTTAAATTGCATCGACCAGCTGATGTTTGAAATGGGAAATTGTTGTTTTCTTTGTTGTACGCACTGAGTTCTTAAACTCCATACAAAATACAGCCCGCAGCTTGTGGCGGCCACAAGTGGCTCCGTTTGCGCCCGGACCGGAAGTGACTCCATTACCGTGCTCATTTTCCTAACCACAAGTACACACAGATAACTGCAGAGAGCGTGCCACACACATTAGCGACCTCCCACGTTACGTCACTGGCAAATGACTGCTATGTTGTTTATCGGAACGTCACGCTCACTTGTTTCTTGTACTCACCTTTCCATTTTAGGTTAAGACTGCAGAACCGAGTTTTCCGTATGAACTGTGACGAGGCTAAACAAAGATACGATTCAGATGGAAGTTCACAAAGGCAGAACATGTCACACCCGATGAAAATAAATTAAAAGAACGATATCGATCATTTTGTAGCAGTCGACAGCAGAAACTCATTTTCTGCTCGTGTCGACCGTTGGTTAACAACAAAATGGCGGCAATGCAACTACGCTGGTAGACAGTGGGTTCAGGTCCGACAATAACAACGCACAAATTGAGGAGAAAGGAGA